CAACATGGACAGACGGACATGCATAAATCGACTTAGAAAGTGATTCTATGCATATTCTCAAAAGGAACCATGTGTCTATTTCGTTTCCTTTTGCCTGTTACAAACATATGCACAAAGACCTAATACCCTGTACCACAGTGTGGTGAAGGGTATAAACAGCAAAATAGTCAACTTTTTAATGAATTACAACGCTAACTTTGAACTTTGGTTATTGACCGTATGGTTAAATTGACATTCATTCTATAATTTTGGGATTATATTGTCTTATTTCCACATATTTTAAGTAACCTAAGTAACCCAGCAAAAATCTTTTTAATATATAAAATTATTTTCAAAGTAGTTCTACCCACTAATGGGCTAATAATAATTCTAGCATAAAGTTTGTAGCATTTTATATCTTAAATAATTTAATTGAGCGACAATCGATCTTCCAAAAATATTTAAAGATTACAAATGTACTAACATTTTAAATATAACTAATTTTATTAAAAAAATATTAACGATTTATTTTTTATGTGGAACACTTAATGCAATTTCGAGAAATACCATGTTATGCTGAAAAACAATTTAAAACTCACACTCGGATTATCGAAAGATTGAAGTTATGTAAATTCTCAACGTGCCGACTACTGGTAAACGTTTACTACTCTTTTACGTATTTCCTAATGTAATAATTAATATGTCTATTCCACAACCTCCAATAATACAGAATAGTAGATTCTTGCACTATGTAGACTAGATGTATAAACTGTATATTGTATGCATGTATACAATAAGTATGTAACTTATTCTATACATAAAAGTCTACTCATGTGTCACTGTGCATTGTTTTGAAAGAATTACTTGTAGGCACAACGTTACTTCATTATTTTCATACGATAAACATTATCCATAAAGATAATAAACTTCTGCTACTAATAAACCTATGTAGTAAAAACGACATTAGTAAACTGTTTTCTTTAATGAACATGACAGAATTGAGGTATACACAATGTTTTCCATACACACAACCGCTTAATGAAAGTAGATTATAACTGCGAATAAACCATTATTACGATTGTATTATTAATATTTTTCAATATGATAACCTTTTGTGCCAACAGGGTAATAGGGGCTTGGAAAAAGAGTCACGTAACTCCTTCACGCACTGTTTTATTTTCATCAGATTTTATTTAAAATTCACGTTCTTTTCGGTTTTACCGTCGGTTTTCAACAACAAATACTTTTAGCTTCAGCTATAACGACAAACTATGGTACTACGTGCATACCAAAACAAGTTAACATAAACAAACTAAATGTGTATGTATCAGTTAGTTGCAACGTTTGCCATCAAACACCTTTGTTACACCGTACTGCTGCGACAAGAATTTCTGACCCATGCATAGCCATAACCATTAACGACGTACAATACCAACTTTACAGTTGAGTGGTCACAACATGTTGCCACTTACTGTTATACATCGTAATTTAGCCAGTGATGTCGGTCTCTCTAGTAACTAAGATACCAACATAGACAAATGAATGGAATAGCCAACAAATTGAGTCAACTCACAGACCCAATTTGAGAGAGCATTGGTATTTTCCCTCTTAAACCGAATTTATAAAAAAATTTTAGATGGGAGACAACAAATATAATTATATTTTTACAAAATCTATAACTTAGGATATATATATATATATAATAAAATCGTTTTACTTTTGCCACAAATTGGGTTTGTTTTTTGGTTTGAGTAACTTCCGTATATATTTGAGCTTTTTTATATTTTGTGGTTGCCATATGAAAAATGAAAACGGAAGTTAACAGCATGGACAGAGTGTTGGGTATTATCGATACTCAAGGTATAGCAGTAAGCGGAGTGCACACTATTACTTTCGATTGTGAGTTCTTTTATCGATTACTGCCATGAATATTTTCGTGGTTGCCTGATGAATGACGAACATGAAGCGGTGCACACGCTAGCACGTTTGAATGACACTCTTGCCCAAATTTTGCTTGTTTGATAGTGTGGCCTCTCATGTTTAGCACGTTTAACAGTTCAACAACTCAGCCATTTTTGGATCAGCTGTTTTATGACCATAATTACAGAATATAGTTTTTAATTTGGAACTCATCTATCAACTTTAAATTGTTTGAAAAAAAAATTACATACAATTTTATGCAAGTTGATTGACATATTTATTAAAACAATTAAAAATGAATACTTTCCGTAAATAAATATATACATTTTTTATTAATATTGCTCTTAAGATATAACTCTAGATGTTACAAAATATATTTATAGATTATAGAGGCTGAAAACTTCAAAGTAGTAAACATAATTAACTGAACACGTATTGTGCGTACATTTCGAAGGAGGATAGTAAAATTATGAAAAAATTGGAATCATATGCCTGCATGAGACTACCTTGTGTAATTATGCTATGATTTGCAAAGATCAATTTGAAATTAATTTGTATAAAATTTATAGAAAATGGAAGAAAATTCGTAAGTTTCATTAAATTAGAAACTAATTCTTTATATTTTTAGGCAAGTTCCAGAAAGAGGGCAATGTATTGATGCATACCAAATTAAGCCCATAATTTTTCTTTTATTGTTCATTTTATTTTTAATATTAAGCCAAATACAACTAATTGTGTTCGTCCTTTGTTTGGTTGTTGTTGTAGCAGCCCTATTGCTTTTACACAATGGGCTGAGGTGGCAGACGTTGGCCGAGTAAGACTCGGGTCGTTTCGGATCGTAGACCCCTCTGTCGTGGAAACGGACTGTCCTTTGTTTGGTTGTTTATTTTGGCGCAAATAAAAATGCTTTATTGAATCAGTTGTTTATTTGCTGAATCCCACTAAATGTTGTCTGTTTACTTTTCTCAGTATTATCTGATGTAGAACTTACTGAGTAAATGTTACTGAAAAAGTAACCGGACACACCTAGTGTTTAAACCGCCTTATTTTGCGGTTTTTGTTTGGTACATTTAGTTGTGAGTTAGGGGGTGTTTAAAATTAAAGTGAACAAAAAGAAAATTCGATACATTTTACAGTTTTTCTTTGACAAAGGCGAAAATGCAAGCTGCTAAAATTGTGATTGGTATTTATAGTTCCGATGTACAATTTTAGTTTCGTAGATTCCATTCAGGGATTTTTGATGTTAAAGATGCACCTCGCAGAGGTATGTCGTATTTAATACCATTATTTAAAACCATTTACACACAAAAAATAATAATGGATTTCTTTTTCCCCAAACTAATAATATATAACTTTCTGTATATGGCCGATTGTACCTCACTTTAAATTGCCGAATCTATCCCAAAGGTACTTTGTATAGCTAGTGATGTACAATGAGAGCTTCATATCGAAAACGTCATTGCGGAATGTGCCCCAATATCGAAGCTGTCCCAGGGTACGGGAGGTACCCTCAGAGTTATTTCTGATTATTGTAAAAAATAACTTTTGGAATAATTTAAAGGGATTTTTTAACGATTTTACATTTAGTTTTAGTTTTCAGAAATAATGTACTGTATCTGCCGAATGCAAGGATCTAGCGACGCAAATTTTGTTCATATTGTATTTAGTATAATTGCATTAAATTTGTCCACACAAAATAGTTCTATGGTCACGAAAAAATCAAGACTCATAGGCTTAATCATAATCAAAATGTATATGTTCAATCCTTTTTATGTTCAATAGCATCCTGCTGTTATTGTATTGACATATTGTTAAAATGTCTCGGTAACTTTTGTGAAAATACAGACGACAGTCTTAATTTGCATTAACAGTCTTAATTGAAAATTAAATTGTACTTTATTCTATTTATATGTATTGTTAATACACAAATTGTGTTATCGTACTGCAAGAATCTATTAATTTTTACTATTTTCTTCGATATCATAAAGGAAAATTTGTTACAATATTTAAAACTAGTACATTCTAGCAGTACGGGAACAGGTCGAAAATCAAACTTGAATTTATACTGAATTATGCAATTTCAATATGGCAATGCTGTCGAAAATCAATTGATTGTTGTCAAATTTGTTTACGTTTGTGAAAATAAATATCTGGCACTTGCCTAAAAATATATAAGGAATTACTTTCTAATTTAATGAAACTTTGCATTTCTTCCATTTTCTGTAATTTTTATACAACTAAACTTCAAATTGAACTTTACAAATTGAAAATATGTTTTGAATAATTGTTGTGTTTGGTCATAAAACAGCTCATCCAAAAATGGCTGATTTTGCAAAATCTTACTACATAAAATTCTTTCAGTAAACTCCAGTAAGTTTGTTGTTGTTGAACTGTCAAACTTGCTCTCTGACTTGAGAGTAATATGGTAACAATTGTTACCAAATATCGAGTAAACAAACAGATCTATTTTTACATTTGACAACAAGACATAAACATGCTAACACATACTGATTTAATACTCAATTCCAAAATGTCAACTTATATTCATTTTGTGAACAAAATATACTAACATATATGTATGTACAAATTGTTGAAATGATTGTGTTATTTAACATAGTTATTGTCGTTTAATGAATGGTACAAGACGTGGTAAAATGATTAGAATATTTCATTTACAACAATCAAGCGGCATATTGTGCATAATAACAAGAGAAACATATAAGATTAGTATTTAAAATCATAAAATAGCAACTTAAACAAAAGTATTGTTCGTGTACTTCTGCTTTGTTCTACAACGCCACCTGGATAGTCTGGTAACTGATTCATTGTTGTGCCATACTACTGTAGATCAATCTTTTGTTTATGTTTTTCGTCGGCCTATTTCTAATTATACACAAAGTTGCGACGGCGCTTTAATATTATCATCAGCTTGGTGGTCTATGTTTACTCATTCATGTAGTCAATATCAATTGCATAAATATTAAAAACTAATTTCATTTCATTCTGAGATTCTTTGCGAACGATGTTTTACAATTGTCATTCACGTAATGTAAAGGTTTACCTTCAAAATTAGAATTATTCACACACAATGACAAATTTACCTGTGTTCATGCTCCGTCGGTGGGTTCATTTTCATTTCTTGTAGTTTGTTATAGAAACCTTTCCACATTTTTTCTTCATCCATGTTTGGGCAATATATATATGTTTATTTTCGTTTGAAGACAAATAATTTACGTATATTTATCAATTTCACTCTGCAACTCTATATCGAATTGGCTATTTTGGTAGAAACACTTCACAAACTTTTTTTTATATTTTTTAGGTGGCAGTTCACACACAAGTGCACAAGTATGTAATATAGGCGTAACTAACGAGTTTCTGCTTCTCGGTTTGAATGGTTTGCAGTAGATTCATTTGCAATGTAAAATTAGTATAGAAATGATTCATAGTAAGTCACAGTACCAGACTAATGAATCACAACTCTAGTCATATACATCACGATTTCTGTTGATGCTTTTTATTGAAATGTGACAACGAAATGAGATAATCGGCGTTACCAGATAAAATCAGATTTTGGAAAACTTTAAAACGAATTGCCAATTTTGAATGTGGCGTTTAAAGTCTTTTTGGTCAATGTTAATAATTAGGGGAGAGGGGGCACCTTTGAACACTTTTTTCTTTCAAGCCTCAACAAATTTTTTATTTTATAATTTTTGGTTTCTTATAAGTTTTAACTAATAGGTACATATGTAACCTTTAAAATGAATATACATATGATATACTTTAAGCTTTATATACATATTTTATTACTGTTTTAATGGAGGAAGTCAAAGCTTGGTATTTTTTAACGGCATGGTTTTTTACAGTGTTTATGGTCAAATATATATGTGTTGTATTCATATAAATCAGAAAAGCATTTATTTATTAAAAAATATATACGAAGATATTCGAAAATTAAAAATTTTTGATCAAAATTTATTAAAACATAAAATGACATAAAAACAAAAATTTATATAGTGAAAAATACAGCTAATTTCGTAATCTTATTAGCCCATTTGATTGAATTTTTTGAGAAATCGAAGCCAAAAGTTAAAAACTCAATTTTTCAATGGAGTTTACTGGGTATGTTCAAAGGTGCCCCACCTGTGGTATTTTACGGAAATTTATAATAACTTTTTTGTAGGAAATATATATTAAAAAATACATTAGTTATGTTTGAAATGATTGTTGGAATGCAAAACATTTGTTTCACGAAAGAAAACTATCACAAAATTCTTCCTGCGCCCTTAAAACCAACAGATTAAAAGTTTACAATGACACTGCGAAAACATGGTCACCCATGCACAATTTGTCGACAACTCAAGAAGCTAGCCAAAGTGGTTTACGCGGATAGAGAACAAGATTGCCATATACAAAAATGTGGTTGCGGGTCGGAAAAAATTTAAACCAAGATTTTATGAGCGCTGTTCAAAGGTGCCCCCTCTCCCCTATAGGTACTATGTGTGTTACATACATATGGTTTGTTCCCGTACTGCAAGAATCTACAACTTTTTACTACGATAACGAATTTTCTTTTGTTATCGAAGAAAATAGTAAAATCTTGTAGATTCTTGCAGAACGGGCACAGACCAATATATACAATTATTAAATATTGAAGTTTTTTCATATTAATATGAAACCCTTCAAAAAATATGATTTAAATGATTTTTCATTTATTCATTATTATAGTGTTACTTGCGGTTGTATTCCACATGCTTAAACACCAAAAAATCTCTGGAATCGTAGAGTTATACTTGACATTTTTTTGCCGCATTTGAGAATAGCTAAAAAAGATCACTAAAAATCATAATGTTCTACTTGACGAACTTCAAAAGTTTTTTTTACTATAGGTTGGCTCTCTGATACTGATTACAACATATATTTGTAATGAAAATTTCATAATTTTCTGAGAGGTGTGCGTCCGTGGATTTAAGCCTACCATTATTATATTAAAGCATTATCGTAGCTATAAACAAAAAGATTTAGCAATCAGTAGTGGGATTCTGTAAATGCTTAATGACAGAATTTCCGACGATTATCGAAAACTGCAAAAAATAATTTCGTTAATTAAAAAAAATCATCGGTAAGTTAACGGCCAACATAAAGTAGTCGTTAAGCCCTACCGATTTACATAAAAAATTTACACCCAAGTCATTCATTTCCCGATATTTCTCAATAGGAAAATTTCCCGATATATGGCAATTTTCAAATTTATGGGTGTTATCTACATAATTATAGTCAGGTTTTCTTAACAGCTAATGTACATAGTTGTACAACAATAGTGTTTTGCTCAGAGGGGCTCCGCCGAAGGGAGTCGATACGCCGAATGCGTGGAGCAGTGGACCGTAGGGGAGGGGTGTAGTGAGACCGTGAAAATAGAGAATAGAATAAAAACACAAGAGTTTCTTAATAATAATTCAATAGTTTATTGATAGTTTGGTTGGTGGTAAACAATATTACCTTTGGCAACGATATGCCTGTGCGCAACGATATGCGTGCTGTCTGTCCGAATGACAGTATGGTACCCCTTGATACTTAAAGGAGGCGGCAAAACAACTGACAATTGATTATTCGTTAAAACGTCAAAAGCGCTAACTCAAGGTTGCAATAAACAGTAGCGCAAAAATGTTAACGAATAATTGAAGACCACAACAGGGGTTAATAAAAAGTATTATTTTTATACAAATCTAAATTAAACATTCCGGCCCCCTTGAAACATCAAGGTATGTTTCTAAACAATACAAGTAAAAAAGTATTAGGTACGACAGGAGTATAGTGCAGTGTGAGCAATTCGAGCAAAATGTAGGGAGTGGAATCGCAGATGAATCTGCAGTAACAGATTCGGGATCCAACTCCGCTTCAACGATAATTTGTAATGTGAGGCCGCAAATGTATCTGCAGTAACAGATTCGGACCTTAAGAAAGCAATATTCAAGACATAGTTCATATGAAGCCGCAGATGAACCTGCAGTAACAGATTCGGGCTTCAATCAAGTTAGTTTAAATCCACGAAACAAAATAGTACGAAGCCGCAAATGAATCTGCAGTTACAGATTCGGATTTCAATCGAGCTATTATTTTCCCGAAACAATATTCGAGGGCTGGGCCAAATAGGACGCATCAGCACTTGTCGCGAGATTTTCCGAAAGTCGCTTTGCAACATTATTTTCCATTAAATTTTTATTAATAAATTTTAACAAATTTTTCATAGACATATTTTTCAAATTTAATTTATTATGTTTGGTATTACCCAGATTTCTAGATTTATTTTCGACTCCAACCGACGTGGAGGATATAAATTTCAAGGACGAAAGGCTGGGCCAGAAGCTGACAACAACGGTTTTGTAGAGCTTGACGAAACTGCTGGAGTCTCAACCGGAATCGAACTTTTCGGTTGCCTCGCGATGTAATAAAGTGTGGTGACGTTGGCCACATTTCGAACAATTAGTCTTACTAGTACAATTGACTAGTTTATGTCCCGTTACCAAAGAATTTATGCACCGATCTTGGCGCTTTACGATTGCAAATCTATTTTGTGGGGGGAAATTCTTTAAATTTGCGACACAAATGAAAGCGGTTGAATTCTCATGACATAGAACAATGTTTCCGAATTGAAGGCGAAGAAGAAATTTTAGAAACAAGTTTGCTAACCGTATTTACCGATTTATCCGAAGGAATGGATGTGTCCCCGTACTTATCCAAACACACGATGAAAGAGCTGATTTGTTTTTAATACTTCCTTCCCATAAAGCTTGGGTAGTTCTCGGCAAACATTGTTGACAAACAAAAACAAGGATAGGATCCCATTGATCCGTTGGAACCTTGTAAGTCAACATGCAGCTATTAATGCCGCACCGAATATCTTTTAAACCAGAGATCGTTTCTTTGTGGAGGATTGGAATATTAAACAACGACGACAACTGACGATTTACTAAAATACGAGTATTATCGAATTCGTCATTGAGTGCTTTCCAAGCAAGAACGAAACCACGATTGTACAACAAACGATACAACAACGACATGGAAATTTGTTGTTGTAAGTTATACTAGTGTCAACGTCATTTGACAGAAAAATGTAAACAAACAAACAAATTATCAACAAATTTTTGGTCTGTTCCCGTACTGCAAGAATCTACTACTTTTTACTACGATAACAAATTTTCCTTTATGTTATCGAAGAAAATATTAAAATCAAGTAGATTCTTGCAGTACGGGAACAGACCATTTATTTATTTTAAAAATTAAATATATTTTCGAATCCTCAAAATAAAATTGAAAAACATGAATGAAAATCATCATCAATCAAATTTATATTTCTTTCGCTTCCACGTCTTTACTATAATTGAGCCATTGCCACTTATATGTGTAATACATATGAAAATGCTGGGAATTGTGAGTTATTCCATGAAGAAAGATTTGCTTCCTCAAACTTTCCCAGCAGGCATATTGAGTAAATTGAATACGAGAGGACATTAAAAAAATGTTTTTCCTGTTGGGTGATTTTTAAAAACATAATTCATTTCATTTATTAATTTACTTCATATATTTGTCATATTGACACTAGTATTACGTTGGAATCAAATCAGCTGGGTTTTGCTGTTACCTATTATAATTGTACCATGATAATAAATATATGTTATTTCAGAGGTATAAATAATGTGGATACTATAATACCGTATCACCCGGCCAAAACTTAAGCACCCCCCAGTATTTTTTGTTTAATTATAATTAGTTAATGGTATACCCAAGAAGTGCAGTAGATGATATTCTACAGTGTTAATAATAATTCATACGCAGATTCCTTGAACTTAACTCAATCCAGAACTTTTCAGAAATATTTTTATGACTTCCTTTCCATAAAAACAAATTATTTAACAAAATGTAAAATTGCGTAAACCTCAAAACTTTTTGATGTCCATACCGTTTCTTTGTTGGGTTCCATGACAAAATGCTCGAGGATGGTCGCAGTCGTCCAATCTACTGATTGAGGGATCTGTATGCCCTATTATTTGCTACTTCAGTGGCGAAATCCGTAAGAACTACTGCGAGAAAGCCGTCAGCAGATGATCAGTGGAACCTGACACATTTAATCAAAACTTCGCAACGACAGATCAATTAATCGAAAATTTAAAATGTTTCTGATATACTATAATTCCCGAGT